TCTCTCATCTTTTTAAGTGGGAGAACTTGCACAATTGGTGACTGACTAAATACTTATTTTCCCCACTGTACCTGTGTGTGGTGGTGCGTGGTAAGAGTTATCGTGAACTTATCGTTATCGAGGTGAACTGGTCAATATATCATGATATTGATTTTTAGGCCGTATTGCTCAGCCCTGTGCTGAAATGGGAGTGTCAGAAATGGTAGGATGTTTTTTTTAAAGGACAGAGGTTTAGGCTATGATTCGTAATCAAATTTCATAACAACTGAAGGTAACATCATCACCTCGTGAATGTAGTATAGTATTTAATTATGTGCTTGGAAAATACACGACCCCTCCCCCCCAAATGACAAATTTTACTTTCACGCATTTGTGAAAAATTAAGTAAAAATATATATATTCTTCCTCTTTGTCTATAGTGCCATCACCTGTTGCTGGGCAGACTTCAGACTTTGTCAACAAGATCCTGGAGAACACGGGACGCGGGGATCCCACCGGCGGTCTGGTCGGCCTGCGAGTCCCCACCTCTAAAATCTAGACGGAGCGCCGTCGAGCTGCGAKGAGTGGACTAATTGTTACCACCGTGCTGTCCTGTTGTAACTATTGTCCCCTCTGCATGCCCCTTCAGCTCAGAGTAAATACACATCGTCATCACCCAAACACACATACCCCTCCCCCATGTATGTGTGCTTGTTTTTGCCATGCAGCTGTGTGGCGCACACACCCCGGCTTTCGCATCGCTGTCTCCCAGCCCATCGTGATCGCCTGTTGGGAGGAGCACGTCTAAAGTGATGGTTAGGTGTATTTCTAATAGCACGTTCCTGAATCCTCTGGTGATTAATAGATGTCTATGTGTGGCCCTGTGACGGATGTCCAGGGTGTACCCCGCATCTCGCACAATGACCGCAGGAGATGGGCACCAGCTCCCCCGCGACCTGGAAAGGAAGAAAGCGGGTGAAGAAAATGGATGGATGGATTATTAGATGTGCTTCACATAGCCTTTTGCAGGAGGACTGAAAGGACAGTCAWGAGTGAAACCACTGGAATTTGTTTGAGGTGGTAAAGAAGTCAGAGGAAAACTTGTTACACGCCTGACACAATCAGAAGTTGAAAGACTTATTTTTTATTAGGAGGTTTTATCCCCCCCACACATTGCAAAAACAAAGAAAACCAGGATATTAAATTGACCCGTTCACTAAAGCACTTTGAGGAAAAAAAAAAGGCTCTGGTAGCCAATAACGCTGCAGAGTAAACAACAACAACAAAAAGCAGGGCGGCAGGAAATATTTTATACTGAAATGCTAAATATCTTCACGCCATCCCCTGTTTGCCAATCAGCTCTGCGCTCGTAAAAATAGCTTTATTAAATTAATGCTATAAAAGATGCAAGCGTTCACCGAACATCCTGCCGGTCTGAAACGGATCGAGCAGGAGCAAGCTTTATGTTGCCCTTGACATCAGGAAATGGTTGAAAAGGAGTCGGATGTAGCATGGTGCTTTGTGCTGGTCATAACTGGACCGGAGGAAAAGGAGCTTTTTGCCAGTATGGGAAGCTGTGAGGAAGATGATTGTGAAGATAAAGATATAAACAGTGATCCATCTTCTCCAGGAAACTGTATATAGAAGTGTCTCCCAGGCACCGGCTCTGTTTTTCTTTCTTTTCTTTTCTTTTTTTCTTTTTGTACAGTAGATTTGATCAGGCAGTGTGGTGACGGCAGTTTGACGTGTTCATACTCGTGTTTGATCGGAGTTCTCTTCATCGTGCCTTGTGTATGTATGCGTTGTGTTTGTGTGAGAAGGACTGAACGTTAAGAGACGCCGGGCACCCCGAGGGTCCGGCGCAGACCAGGGGGATTGTTAGCGAGCGAGAGGATGGACAGCTTGAATATATTCTGAATGTACATAAACAAACGGAAGCTCTTGTTGCGWGATGCCACAGAGTCTGTGTATATAGGAGGGCTCTGCAATAGATTACTTTTGGTTTTTGGTACTCTTGTCTTCGGGGGATCCGGGCAGGGGGGGGGCGGGGCTAACAGATATTTTTCGTTAAGCGTAACAAGAAAGAGAAAAAAAATATTTGCACACTATATTTTAATTGTTTTTTGTACCAAAGACACATGCAACGACATGGCGACCAGCCAGTTAAAGTAAGGTTTTGCACAGCTTACCTGACGCCGTATTGAATGTAAGAAATGTGGGAGGGTCAGGGAACTTCATAGAACTGTGAAATTAGTTTGGGTCCAATTCTGTACAGAAAAGGAACATTTGTTTGTGTTTTGAAGTCTAAAATTTACTCCCATATATGGGCTTCTCCAGTACAWTGTATTTTATTTGACTTGTTTGCTTAGGAAGCACTTCATTCCTAAACCTATTCCTCCCTTCACGTGCTAAGTGTTGTTATGGCGCTAAATAGGAATAAAAACCCACAGCGCTAGTAGATAAGCTACGTTACTTTTTCCTCTTTTTTTGCGTTTGTCAATAACCAAAAAAATATGTTTCTGTCACTTGTTTCATTTCTGTATCCAGTTCACGAGCAAACTATTAACTGAATTATGTTTAAAAGTACTGTATATAAATATCAATTCAATAGCTATTACTTTTCATGACGATTCTTTTTTTTTTTTCAATGCACGTCACATTTCTAGAGCCTGTCCTTGCGTTTGAACAATTAGAAGCAAACACACACACAAAAAGAAAAACGAAAAAAAGAGGTTCTCATATTTTTCTATATTAGCTGCCTGCTAGTTTTCCTGTTGGTTTTAAGGGTTTCGCTGGTCGGAGAAGAAGCTGAGGAGGAAAATGGCAACTCGTGTCCGTTCTGTTATTCTTCACTGATGGTGCGAATGACGAAGACAACCAGGACTAGATTATTTCAAACACAGTACGGTAGTGCCTCGCTTTCATTAGATTGCTTTATAAGGAGAACAAACTGTCTTTAATGAGGACAGAGGGCAACACTGTGGAGGAATCGGCTGCAGTGCTGTCTCAGCTGTAAGAAAAACCAAAGCCACACTGATTTGAAGTCAGCAGCACTGTGCTTTCTCCTTTAGATTTCTCCCTTTTTTATTTTATTTTGGTATTTAACCCTGAAACCAGCTGATGTTTGCATGTGCTGGGACTGTTGCCTTTACAGTTACAATGTTGTACTGAGTCTTTATGTCTGGCTTCACCTTGCCTTCAGTTTTGCAGCCTTCTGCACTGGTCACAGCATTAGAAAATACCTTCTCTTTAAGCACCTATACACACCGCTCAGGCCATTTTGAGGCACACTGTGCAACTTGTAAAAATACCCATTGCATTGTCTCCCTTGCTCCTCAGACAAGACGTCCTGTTCCCTAAAAATCTAAAACAAAATCAACCAGAATTTGCTGATTTAGCTTGCAGATATAATCAAAATAATAAGGACAGTTTGAAGTGATAAATGTTCTCCTTCATAGAGCAGTGTCTAATGATTGTGAGGTACTTCTTTGTCTGTATTGCGTTTTTTAAGTTACATATATTTACACGTATAGCTTTCCGTCGAAGAAAAGGGATAAATGGTGCTTTTCTGAAACTAGAAGTAGAAGTATCCACGTTAATATTTCTTTGACTAGTTTGTACCCCGATGACTTGCTCTCCCCTCCCGTCCACATAGTTATTTTCTTAGTAGTGAAACGTTTTTGTAAATAAACTCTTTGAGTTCATATGTAACTTCTAAGTGTTAGATATGTGTATAGAGTAATCTATCTTATATGTTTAAGAATAGCACTTTGTCCAAAAAAAGAGAAAGAAAAATACAAAAAAAATAATCTTTTTTTTTCTTCCATTTGCTGCTAAATGGCCTCGTGTGAATGCTGCAAGTGATGACTACTTGCTTGGATAAGTCTATCACCTGACAAGGCTAGGTCTACGAACTAGCAAAGGAACACGTGTGTGTAACCTGACAGAGGGGTTTAGATCTGCACAAATTTGGAGCCATGAAATGATACGAGGTGTGGCGTGAGAGCGTATCGTTGCTTGGCTTTCGGAAGCCCCGATGGGATAGGTCTATTTCCTGGTCAGGGTGTGATGGTATGTTTGTGGTCTTAAAACAAAACAAAAAAGAAAAAAAGAGGGTTTTGATTCCAGGGCCCCTACATTGTTTCTGATGCTGACCCCCTTGGCGTCATGATTCATTTGCCTTCAGTAGAGGTTTCCTATGGAAAAACTGATTCTGCTTTGGCTTCCTCTTCAGGGTGATGTACAGTGTAGACACATTTCTTCAGAGAGCTATATTGTTATCATTTGTAAACTGATTTCTACTTGTGACTTAAAGAGGAGTGGTTTAAGCCTTGGGCGGCCAGGAAGAGCTCGTTCTGAAAGCTGTTTTTCCTGGCCGCCTTGGGGGAAGTTACTATATCACTGTACTGTATGGCAAGCCAATTTACAAAAAGAGACTCAATCCGGACACTTAATGCCTTCTGAATAACTTTACACACAAATAAAAATAACATGGCAGACATGTTTGTAGCTGAGGTTCATGACATTGTCCTGCCAGTCTGGTAAACAACCACAACCACAACAACAAATGCCTGATTGGCTCAAAACAACCTTGACTGAAGTAGCCGACGTGGTGGTGAACTGTATCTGAAAAATGGCTTCAAAAAGTCTGAAACCACTCTAGCGTGTCCTTCCCGATGATGTTTGAAGCGATTTTTTTGGCTATGATTTGAAACCAGGTCTGGTTGAGGGGGTCAACGGTGGTTAAGGGCCCGACGTCGTTGCGTTTTTTTTTTTTTTTGCCGTCGATCCACGAGGCTGTTTTTAGGAAAGAGTCCTCACAGGTTATCACAGGATAGGCGCGAGCTGTGCAACTTTACATTCAAACCAGGAGACTCTGTGGCATTTTTTTAAAACCGTCGAGGAAATGAGCGAAAAATCCACACCAGAAAAAAAAAAAAAAAAAAGAAATACTATTCCTTATTATTTTTATTTCTGACAAAGGAAAAAAAATCCTATACAGTAAACTATTAAGCTAATAGTGTGTAACTTTGTGCTACTCTTGTCCAATAAAAGCTAAGTGGATCCATAAAGCTCTTCTTCAGCAAATCAGGGTAATATCGTTCTTCTATTTGACATATGTGATGACGTATAAAATCAAAAGATTATATATTTATGTATTCCAGTTATTGTCGCCATTCTTTACTCTGTACAAAAAAAAAAACAATATTGTCTGTCTGTGTGTTCTGAATTATTAATGTCAATCACTATGGTGCAATGCTCGATACACAAAGTAAGACAAAACAAAGGCCAACAGACTTTTCAACACAAGAAATCACAAACAGAAAACTGCAACATTTTCCCTTCATGAAGGATTTGACTCTGATGTCCAGCTGTATTCCAACTTGGTCACATGGTGCTGATTTTATTGTCGCCCCCACTCTTTTTTTTCCCCACAGATAGTCCTGTTTTTTTATATTTTTGTTCATAAAACTTCCTTTAATGTTGGACCAGTCAGAGGAGGATTTACATGGATTCTTGTTCTGAACAAGAGAATGGCGATTTCTGTATTAATTTGTACGACGGATGTTTGTAAAAGCCGGTCTCCRTTGGTTTGATTGCACGAGTCGTAGAGGCTGAAAACACGAATTAGAGTTCAGCTGTGCAGGTACCTAACATTGTTGGGGTAAAATTGGAATAATTAACAAGAAGGAAATAAATTATTACAAACTCTTTTTTTAAAAAAAATCAGCCTCTCGCCGGCTGTGTTGTCAGACATCAGAGTCCGGCTTCTGGTTTCGCTTGTATCACTTCAAATGTTTCTCCTGTTGTGTTTGAACCCTTGATTGTAAAAAAAAAAAAAAAAAAAAAAAATCTCATCTTTAGAGGACATGTTCCTACTTTCCTCCTTATTTCACCCCAAAACCACAGAGTGCAGAAATGAGCGCTTCTGCATGTGGATTTGCCCGCCCCCCCCTGCTCCCCTGCACAGCGCTGTGAGAATCAAGAAATTTGGACGTCAGAAAACGTTTTCAAAAGTTGTCGCGTGGCTTTTCGGGGGCTCTCTGTACTCTTGTATGGTTTCATACTTGCTGCTATCGAACGAGCACAAAGAGGCTTCAGATTTTTTATGATTTAAGGGTGTCCGTGACACATTTACAGTATATCCTCTTGCTTTTAATTCATTTTAATTTGTTGTTTTCGTTTCCATACACCCTTTTTTCCTATGACAGTCAGAAGACAAACAGCATTGCTCACCTTGCACTTGGATTTTTCACTTAACAAGAAAAAAAATCTATTTTGAATTACGATGCCTGACGAACCAGGTGCCTTAATCAGTTACACGAGAACACAAATCTGCATTTTTAAAAATTTTCTTTCCTGTCATTGTAGAGGGGTTTTTCCCTACAGACACAAAGGGACTGGGTTTTCCAAAACTTGAAGTACAATTATGAAACGAAAACCTCGTTTCGTCCTAAACCTACACTTTTTGTAATAAATTCAACCTGTAACAGCAGACAAGCTGTTTGTCATCCCTGGAAAGTACAAACCTCCTCCTGTAGGATGAGCCTTTGTTATTACAGTGGACAGGAGATGCTGTTTTGGGAAACCTGGTTCTGATTTAATTTTTAACCCATTTCTCTGCCCACTACGCCACGTTTTATTGTTTTCTGTATCGGCTGCTGCTATCACCGCTGGTGTGTCTGCGTAGAGAAGAATACATTTCCACGGTGTCGGAGATGGAGGGGGAGACTCGGGGCYGGCTTTCTAATCCAAAATACATTCTTCTGAGGCGTGGACACGGAGCACTGTGCGCCTCCTGAGACCTTTTTATTGTGATAGTGAAAAACAAACAAAAAGAAAAAAAAAGAGAGAGAATTCCGTTTTTTAAAACTTTCCTATAATGAAGTGCCAGAGCCTCCGTGAAGTCAGTGTTGGCACCGAGTCGAAGCGACAAACATGGAGGCAAACCGTGGTGCTAATCTGTCCGTGGCTGGGTGCTACAGTAACATGGCTGTGTTTGAATTCGTAGCCATATTTACTCCTTCTGTTCGATGACTCCGCTCAAGTCTCGTGTTTTTCTGACTGCTGCACTGCTGTATGCCGACATAGCGAGGTGTAACTCTGCTGCTGCTGCTTTGCCGATGAATGTAGACTAGTCTTCCTCAGCAGGATCACACAGACAGACGAGGGCGTCTGGAGCTTTTCCTTTCTTTTTTATTTGTTCCTGCTGTTCGACTTTGTTCGGAAGCTCTGAGGGAGACTCTGGTCATCAGGAGAGAGARAGATTTTGAATGTTGTATCTTTAAGTGGCCACTTTTGCTTTTGTGTTTAAACTTTTTTGTTACCTTATGCTCTGATATTTATGCTCTAACTTGTCAAAAGTTGCACGTTTTATTATGTTTTTTTTTCCTAAATTATATTTTTGCCATTTTCTTTGATCCCAGTGTTCCATATATTGTTTATTTATTTATGAAGTCCAGTAATTTGAAATATAAGGAGACTATTATTAAATGTAGACWTTAATGCTTTTCCACTGAATAAGGCGCCCACAAGTCAGAGACGTGTCGTGAGCCTCACAGACAGAAATCAAAGTCACAATGTAACCAAAACAACGTCTCTAACAAATACTCATCCTTTACATCTGTTTGGTAACTCAAAATTATACAGAAAAACTTCAAAATTTGATGATTTCTCTGGCGTTTGAGACAGATTTAAAAACATTTATCCACCACTTTACTCTCTTTAGTTCATTTGAAGCATTTCACATTATTCAGTTTATGAAAAAACAAGAACTTGCAGAAACTTTGGGTCTGAATATTTTCTAGGAGTGGTAACCTTTGCTGTGAGACTGCAGGCAGACTCCAGTAAAATGATTTAACTATTATAGTTTACAATTTGATGTATTTATTCATAAAATCTTCTGTAGCTTTTTAGAAGAACACCTTATTTAGCCTTACTAATCATAAATAAAGGGTTTGTTAACCATGAAAACATTAATTACAGATGATTTATACTTAATAAGCTACAAATTAACTTTAGTAATGCTATACCCATGAAGGTGCATGTCTAACATGGTGTGAAAGTACATTTAAATAAGCATTCAACACAGTATATTGASTTAATTCATGCGTTATTAAGCAGGAATAAATGAGTGTTGGTTTTGGAAGTAATTAGCATTTATGGGCAAAGACCAATTCTGTTAAATGAGAATTGGTTCTCAACTGACTTACCTGTTAAAATGAAGGTTATATAAAGCATTAATAAATGTGTTAAATTATAGCTTAAGTATAAATCATCTTTAACGATGTTTTCAAGGTTAACTAATATTTACTGATGATGGTTAATTAAGGTGTAGTTATTATAAAGATACCAAATCTTGTGGTWAATCTTTTGCAATGATTAAACTCAAACATTTTTAGCTCTAAAAGAATCAAAAAGCCTTAAAACAACTTGATGAAACCACCCCACTCCTCCAGTAAATGTAACCAGAGGCAGGATTTTTTTGTGACTTTGATTCGTTTGCTGTCTGTGAGGCTCGAAGTGTTTTGTCACTGGAGGTTTGATGTGATCAGAAGCCCCATCGGGCTCGTTTACGCGCCGAGCAGAACCTCGCCTTGACACGGCCCTCCTTCTCGTGACTTTGGATTGAAGTTTGGCGCTTCGCTGCTTTGGAGCTCAAGTTAGGGGTCGGCTAACTCTCTGTCTTGAGCTTCAGTGGGGAAACGTAGTGAGTTTTGTGGAAAAACTTCACTTGTGCTTCAGAGGTTTTCAGCCCTTCTTTTTTGCTTTATTTGAAACAAGCTTTTTTTTTATTATTTTTTATTTTTTAAGAAGGGCTTTGGTTTGCAGTTGTCTGGTCTGGGAGTGCCCCAGAGATTAGACAGGGGTCGTTAAGGGCTGGTGGGCAGAGACCCCTCCTCACCCTCTCCTTGCAGTGAATGACAGGGGAGGGATTCATCACTCAAACAACAACTCACCCCACGATAATAAAAAACAAAACTCCTTACAGTTTCTGCACACGTCAAACTCATTACGACACAGCAGTGATTTACATCTTCCAGATTTGCCAAAAAATATAATAAAACGCACGGAAAAAAACGAGACGTTTAACAGAAAGACATCTGAAAGCATCTTCTGTTTCTTTTCTCTGTTTCTATAATTGAACAATAGGATTTAATAGGAAACCCATACAAGCCCAAACATGTAGAGGATGTGGGAGGTATCGGTCACCCTGAGCTCCACAGCTACATGTCATTGTTCGGATGCTTCTGGTCTTGTTTTGGTGACTTATACGATTTGATCAACAGCATGGGATCTTTCTGTAGTTAGTCCTGTGTGTGTTCCTCTCCCCGGTCTCAGTAGGAAGGCTGTACTTCATTGCTAAGTGCTCTACAATAGATCTCTTGGTGAATCTAATTTCATAAACCTGCTGAAACTAACTTGATCCTCTCTTTAGCAACGACGTCTATATTTGTAGTTCACATATATGCCTGTTCGAATACAATATCTTGATGTGTTATATTTATGTTGTATACTAAATGTTGTGCTGGGTTTATACTTTTTTGTTTTGACATTTTCTTTTACATTGTGTTCTTTTCTTTTTTCCTACTTGGAGGCACAGTTGATGGTTTTACGCACAGGCATGGAAATGTAATTTTTTTTCTTGTTTGTACTGTAAAGGCCCATTTCTGTTTTAGTTTCATTTTTATTTTATTTTGTTTTTGTCTCTGGCTGCTCAAAATCCTGTGGGCACCTGCCCGAAAATTTTCTTCTTCTTTTTTTTGCCTCTGTTTTTGTTTGTTTTTCTAATGATTTTATTAAATCATCTTATCTTGTATCAGCCGGGTGTTGGTACTGCAGCTCTGCTTGTAACCACATTAGTCTGATTATGTTTATTGATTTTTATTATCAAAACAATAAAACCATTAGCACCACACTCTGAGTGCAGTTTCATTTATTTAAGGACTTCAATAGTATTTTAGTCTGTTTGTGTTTTTATGATCTGAATTTGAATGTTTTACAAGTCTCTTGGTCATTTATTGTACACATTTGATCATTATAAGTACTGCAGTAATTTTAAATTACTTGACATTTTACAGCAAAACATACAGCCTAGTTTAGTTTAAAATACCTGGTTTGTTTGAAATGATATTTTTAAACTAAACAAATTTATTCTAACTTTGATTTTCAAAAATAAAATTTTGCACCTGTGTTATTTAGCTTTTAGCTATTAGAAGTAAATGAGTAGATATAAAAAACTGACAAAAGTTTCTGAAAGTGATTTTGTACAAAAATAAATRAAAATGATGTAAAGTTATCAAGAAAACCAGAAAAATTGGAGAAGACATTCAAAGTTTTATGGTCTAACATRGTGAAAATAAAAAGTACTAAAGGTTACTGAAAACTTGCTTTGAACCTAACTGCACACAAAACTATTTTACATTAGAACCTGATGTTTAATTTGAAAAAAAAAAAGAAGTAAACATTGTATGATTTAGGAGCATTTAAAATTACACTAGCCATAAAAATAAACATTGCAGTGCAGCAAACAGTACCTCTCATGTTTTTGTGGACCAAGAAGAACCACAAATATAATTTACAGATATGAAACTTGTTTTGTAGTTTAAACTAGTCTTAATGATAAAACTGTATTCACAATTTATTTTAATTAAACTATTGAATATGAGTGTTTATTCATTGTCCATTGCCATTAACAGGGAAGCTCATTCAAACTTCGCGTTTGTGTTGTTTTTGAGCCTCTCGCTTGCCGTACCAAAACAATAATGGCGTCCTCGCCGGACGTAAATGTTCGAATTTGCGGGCAAGAAATTATAAAATACGACTTAGAAATAAAAGCTCTCATTCAGGTAAGGACTTAAATCTATAAAATGTAACTCCTAGTGAATACTCGTTTTGATTTACAGACATAGATATCCAGTTTGAAAGTTTAACAAACATTAAGCTAAAGTTAGCTTAACAACAGGAAACCCATTTCAAGACAATAAAGTTGATAAARTTGCTAAAAACTTACAGAACTGTGTTGTTTTGGCATTTTTGTGGCTGAAAAAATATTACAAATTACGTGTTTTGTCTTTTTTTCCCCGCCAAGTTTTTGTTAGCCCTTGAGTTCAAACGTTAATAGCCTAA